TTTCAGGATATTCATGCCTTTTTGAGTACATTATTTTTCTTCCTTTTTGTTATCCTTTTAATGAATTGGGGGAAGGGAAGTATTTAATCTATTGTCTTGTAAAAGTAGTCCACTAGTTACAAACTGATAGAACATAAACCTCTTTTTTTTTTTCTGGTGTTCCCTGAACTAATGTTCTTTATCTTATAGGCCACTTCTAAAGAAAACTAAAAGCCCTAGTTCCTCTTCTGCAGATCTTTCCACATCTAAAAAGTTTGGGGCATAGTTAAGGATTATAACGTTTTCTGCAGCAGTACGTTTCAACCTAGTGTGGGAGAAATTATTGAAGTTATTCAATTTTCATGGAAATGTCTAGCAAGAGTGATCTAGTAGCAAGAGCATGGCCTTTGGAATTAGACAAATGGAGACTTGAAGTGCATTTCTCAAACTCAAGACCCTAGACAATGTTGCTTGACCTTTTAGAATCTGCATGCTAATACGTAAGTTTGGAAAAATAACATTGTCTCACAGGTTTGTTGTGAGAATCGAATAATACATATGAAATGTAAAGCAGTGTTAACACATAGTTGGGTGCTTGGTACATGCCATCTCCACACCTCTTTCTCGTATCATCATCAGTAATCCATGCTTTAGACATGTTGATCACATAAGAATCAAACTCTTTAGATCCCAAGAATATTAAACACTATTTTATATTATTTTCATGGAATTTATTGTGGTGACACTGGTTAATAAATTAGATAGGTTTCAGGTGTACAACTGTCTAATGCATCATGTGTATATTGCATTGTGTTTCCACCCAAAATCAAGTCTCCTTCCATCACTGTCACTATTTACCCCCATTTTACCCTCTTCTACCTCTCCCTACCCTTTTTCCCTCTGGCAATACTGTTGTCTGTTCTTTTGTTTGTTTTTGCTTAATCCCTTCACCTTTTTCACCCAGCCCCCCAAACTCCTACCCCTCTGACAGTTGTCAGTCTGTTCTCTGTATCTATGAGTCTGTTTCTATATTGTTCGTTTATTTTGTTTATTTGATTACACATATAAGTGAAATCATATGGTAGTTGTCTTTCTCTGACTGGCATTTTTCACTTAGCATAATGTTGTCTATTTTCAAATGTACTAAAACTCTAAGATTGGTACTATTATAGGATGTATTTGATTATTTTGCTTTTCTGCTCAAACTGTAAAATACCTGAGTGTCTTTTGAACATATTAATGTGTCATGTCATAATTTGGACATCTCTTTGAGCTCCAGCCCTCCACAGTTACTCCTCCTCATCCTTAAGATCTAAGCTTTCATGTCAATTCCACAGGAAAGTCATCTTTCCTCTCCCCAACTAGGTCAAGCCCCACTTTAAAATATTCCCACCATACTATAAACATCTTCTTTGTACCTATGCAGATCCATAGTCTTCATGGTTTGTAATCATATTATTTCTGTGATTATTTAATATCTATCTTGTTTACATGATTTTAATTTTTTTCTGAGTGCATTTTTGCTTGTAAGCATATCTACAGTGAACAACCAGTCCATAAGCAAATTGTAGGAACTCAGTATTTTTAGAATGAATAAAAGCAGAAAGCTTCTGGAGGGGCTATTTGTTTATTTATTTGTGTTTTTCATTATATTGTTTCTAACCAAGTTATTCTCATACGGATCAAAACGATTTTTTGTTTGTTTTAGGGTAAGTTAAGAGTTCAATCAGGTTGGTATTTTACGTTTCTAATGTTATTTTTATTATTATTTCTAATCCTCACTCGAGGACATTTTTCCATTTTTTGTTCAAATAGAGTGGGAGGAAGTGAGGGAAGGAGAGAGAGAAAAAGAGAGAGAGAGAGAGAGAAACATCTACATGAAAGGGACACATCAAGGGGCTGCCACCCGCATGACCAACCAGAGCCGGGGAAAAACTGCAACCGAGATACATGCCCTTAGCGGGAACCGAACCCGGGGTCTCTCTGGACCGCAGGCTGATGCTCTAACCGCTGAGCCAAACCGGCCAGGGCTCTGATGTTATCTTTAATCATTCTAGCACTTCTAAATATTTATTCTTTACTCCCACTTCATTTTTTTTATACACGTTCCTTCTTAAAACTGAGCTTATCAAGCACGGCCGTCCATAGGCTCTCTGCTTTTCATCTTCATCAGCATAGTCATAAATGTCATTGACAATTATGTTTTTAATTAGAAAAATTTTAGCAATCATTGACATTTTTTCATAATTTAATGGTCTAGTGCAATGATGTTTATTTATTGTCATTGTTTTACACTCTGATTATGTTGTAGAACGTGACATAAGGATTGGGTGATAAGAGGAAACGAGTATCTAGTTGCTAAGCGTACTAACAGAGTTCTAAAGAGTTTCCCTGCTTTTTCAAAATCTCAGGCTAGTATAATTTAGCCTTTAATTCCAACAAATCAGTGAAAGAGGATCAGATTATGTGGTTAAACTATTTCTGCAGCTCCTGGATATTATGGTGCCAGGGTTGAAGTATCACCTCAGATAAGTACCTTAAATTAACTTAAACAACATAATTCTTTGTGCAATAAATTAGCTCAAATTCCAAATTTGAAGTTTGCTATTTTGCAAAGGATAGCTCTGTTACTTTGCTTAGCCCACTGTGCTCTTCAAAAACAGTTTACATTCCTTTTAAAAATATTAGAAATGCTATAAACATTCAAGATTTCAAAATATAATATTGAATAGAAAAGAACACATTATAATATACCAACTATCTAACAGATTAGGAAAGAAAAAATTTTGGAGAATACTGCTTTGCTTGAAATGCAGAGATTGCTTTTATTAGATACAAAACATTAAAGATATAATAAAAGTGTGGTCTGATAAACTTTGAAAACTAAATTAATGATGTTAATACTATTTTATATACATTGACCTCTGTTTTAAATACACGTTTAGAATATTTATCAATAAACTACTTTCATTAGCTGTAATAATGTATCTTTTGCTGTGATATAAATCCAATAATATTCACTTATGTCATCAAGATTAAAATTAGGAATTATTAAGTATTCATTTAGTAATATTGACCCACAATGCAGACAGAAAAAATCACTGTGTCTCTTGGGTAGAGAGATTGATAAAGAGTATTACTGCCCTGGCCAGTTTGGCTCAGTGGTTGGAGCGTTGGCCTGTGGACCAGAGTCCCGGGTTCAGTTCTCACTAGGGGCACCAAAACAAAGAATATTACTATTCTCATGGAGCTTATCCTTAAGTTTAAGGGACTAAATATAATACAAGGCAAAATTTTTAAAATTAATATGGTTAGCCCTGGCCAGTGTGGCTCAGTTGGTTGGAGCATCGTCCTGTACACCAAAAGGTTGTGGGTTCGATTCCTAGAAAGGGTACATATCTAAGTTGCAGGTTCTATCCCTGGTTGGGGCGTGTACAAGAGGCAACCAATCAATGTTTCTCTCTCACACTGATGTTTCTCTCTGTCCTTTCCTCTCTCTAAAGAATCAATAAATATATCCTCAGACAAGGATTAAAAACTTAATATGGTCAAATTAAAAGAGTAAAGAGTATTATTAAATTATTACCAGGATAATTGCAGGGATATTTCTGGAGAGTTTCACCTTTAGTTAAGTGCTGAAGACTAAGTAGTGTAGTGATAGAGGCTTAGTTTCCCCGAAGTAAATAACAGCAAAAAATGATTATAATAATATTTTAAAAAACTAACATAAGTTGTCCAGCCAATGTGGCTTAGTGGTTGAGCGTCAACCCATGCACCAAGAGGTCGCCGGTTCAATTCCCGATCAGGGCACATGCCCAGGCTGTGGGCCAAATCCCCAGTGGGGGACATGCAGGAGGCGGCCAATGGATGTTCTCAATATTTCTCTCTCTCTGCCTCTCACTTCCTTTCTCTTTAAAAATCAATAAAGGGGGAAAAAAAAAAACACTAAAATAAGTTGATCACATACTCTATTTGATGTTCTTGTAAGCACATTATACATAATACCTCAATTCTTAGAGCAATCCCTATGAGGTATTATCTGTCCCATTTTTCAGGTGAAGTCATTGAGTAGCTCACTCATGACTACATCTTGAGTAGGAGAGCATAGAAAAGCAACATGGAACAAGACTTCAGAGGTCTTGAACTGCGTTTATAAGATGGTTTGGTTTTCTTAAATAAAGGCCACTTATAGAAGAGAGTGATTCTAGTGAAAAAATTAAGTATACAATGAAAAGGAATGGAGAGGAACAAAAAGAGAAAGCTCCAGAGGAGACACTAAAATAACACGGGAAGCTGATGCCCATCTGAACTAGGGACAATACTAGAATCCTGACTGCAGATGGGGCTTTCCTACGGGGGGAGAAGTGAGGAATAGATGATGATTCTGACCAAAATTTAAATTTCAGTCACGCTATTTAAGAAAGTGTAATGCATCATTTGGAAAAAAATGTTCCCATGAAATTTGCTTTGAGTTTTGAAATGTCTAATGTATACGTGCTTAAGTTTTGGTTATTGATCTTCTGAACCATCTAATTCCTGGCCAGTACTTGATAACTGATGCCATTCATGTCTTCACAATTTGCTCTGGAGCAGCTGTGTGTACAAGCACCTCTTTCCTTTTCTGTCTTGTTTTATTCATCTCTCTTGCTTTCCCTGACCTCTGCATGTATTTTAGCTCTACTATCTACTCCTAAACACCTACTCATTTACTTTCTAAAAATATTTGCAGTATCTTTTGTCTTGTTGATTCTTTCATAATCACTGTATATCTTTTACATTATTTCCTTTGAGTTTAGAAATTCATTTCTCATTTTATTCAGAATTTCCCTTAATGTAATGCTTCTAAACTTATGATTGTCTCCCCTTTCACATACAAATACCTACAAAATTAGGTTGACATTGCAGAATTTTGGTATTAAGGATGTTATTTATATTAATGTCAATATCTCAAAATTAAAAGATAATTTTGGAGATTAAGAATGATTTCTAAATCAAAATAAGGATGCAAAGGAGACTGAAAATAATACTTTGAAACACTATTATTTTAATATGTTTACAGGGAAAGAGTAAATTCACCAGCAGAAAATAAAAGAAATTACCAAAATTAACATTTTACAGATTTTTAGTGTCAAAGCACAATACATTTTTCATAGAAACAAATATATCACCATTATAGGTACCATAATATGGCAACATTTATACACACAGCCATTTACCATTAAGAAAATCAGTGGCAATGGTGATGCAATACATTAGTTTATCTTCATTAAACATTTTGCTATTATACTTCCTGGCCTGCAGGAGTATTTGCCAGGATACAAAAGAAAATGTGACGTCAGTGTGAACAATACACAGAAAGCTCTGGCTGCCCATGCTCACCCCTTTGTTTACTGTGTGGCCATTAGGAATGTCTTCCTGCCACCACTCTGACCTCATTGCATTTACTACTAAAGCCATTCCCAGGGAATCAAATATTATAGCAGATTCATTTGGACATTAAGGATCATTTTATACAAAAGAAGAAGTACATATCCTCTATGCCTAAACACAAGAGAAAATCTATACAGGTAATAAGTGGAAAATAATTTGAGATTATTTGGAATAGGTAACAGCATAGCATCAAACTGGGGGAAATGTAATATGGTTCCTCTCATTTTTAGAGTTATTATTCTTGTCACTATTGTTTTTAAACGTACCGATGACTGTCTGAGGGCCATTCACATTCAATGTTTATATTCATTTTATTAGTGGCATGTACAAAGCACCATATAACATAACATATAAAATGTAGAACAATCATGACTATGTAATTAACTGTAGAAATAACTGCTAAGAAAATATAGCAATATTTAACACAGGATTTCTAAACCATTACATATTCAGTACTTTTTCCAAAGCTAATAATGTCCCATGTTTTATTTTACAGACTTTGTGTATCAAGATTTATACGCGTTTGGCACTTTTGGGGGGGCTGAAAATAGTTGTGGTCTTCTGTACAGTAATGTTACAGTTTTATACAAACTTCAGAAATATGGCATTTATGGAACAGCTTTTATGCTCCTCTTCCAAGTGTTCGTTTCACACAACAGCAAACACTCTGAATGCCTTTCCTCCAGGCGGATTCTGTAAACTGCAAAAACACAAACAGTATATTGATGTCATCTCCACATATAATCCCTCAAACAAATCATGCTTTCTTATGACGGTCAAGAAAGCAGCTCTGTGAAGCCAGATGGTCACCTCACTTGGGCTTCTGTAATTTATAGTTACTGGAAAGCTTGAGTGAGGATGACATAATTCTTCAAATCTTGGTCGTATGCTGAGTTGCAAGTTCACTAAAAAAACTTAAGGTGCATAGTGGTAATAATAGTATTTTATATAGAACTTCACTGATTCCAGGTCATGTTTTCATATATTACCACCTCTGGTTCCAACACAGCAGAGTTAACAGCTGCAAATCAGTTTCACTGGGGGAATACTGAGATACTGCCAGGCAGCACTGAGGTCCAGGTCCACTGCCTGACTCACACGGTTAAAAAACGAACTGCAAGTTCAAAGGACGGTGATATTTAAACAATACTCTGGAGTTCTAACATTATCATTTCCTAAGTCTGACAAAATTTAAATTTCATTGCTGTCATACTCATTAATGTTTTAACATCTATGGTTTCAAGAAAAATCTTAGGGAGAAAATTTAATGTTCAAATCTGAGAGGGCCTTAAGAATGCTTTCATTAAAATAAAAACACACAAATAGCACTCAATCTCATTTTGGAGGTATTTTAAAACAAGTTAAAAGTAATATAGAATCATACATTTTACTTTTTAAAAATTACTTATATTTTATTTTGCAATATCAATCAAGGTATGTTTTAAGTGCCTAAAATTTAAAACAGATTAATAATGCCATTAATCATTATTTATTCTAATCAAATTTACACTTCTGCAGTCTTTACATTTTTTGCATAAAGTTTTCTTTCCTTCATAATAAAAAAGACTTTGGAGACCAAAACAATAAATGCTAAGAGGGAGACAAAGTACAATTTCTTTTATATATTTATTCGTGGGTAAAAAAGGGGAGAATTTTAGAGTGAAAAAGGACATTACAAAGGACACACAGCAAACACATGTGCTGGGTTTTCCACACAAGCTGATGGCCACTCGAAAGTCCTGTACTTACAGGACACTGAATCTCCTAGAAGTGAATGTGTTTTCATTGTACACAGTGATACTACTGGGAAAATGCAGGTTTCTGAGCCTACAGATCTAGTGCTGAACCCAAGCTCTGACACTGACCATCACTTAACCTCTCTGCACCTCAGTTAACACAGCTATAAATTAGAGGTGATAGAATAAATTTCACAGTGCTGCTGGTGGAGCTGAGTTAATACACTTCAAGTGCCCAGCAAGCAGCATCTGGAAAATTCACAGTTGATTCTCAAAAATAATTATTCTCGCCCTGGCCGGTTTGGCTCAGCAGTTGGAGCATCGGCCTGCGGTCCAGAGAGACCCGGGTTCGGTTCCCGCTAAGGGCACGCACCTCGGTTGCAGTTTGTCCCTGGCCCTGGTTGGGTTGTGGTTGTGTGGGTGGCAACTACTTGATGTGTCCCTTTCACGTCGATGTTTCTCTCTCTCTCTCTCTCTCTCTCTCTCTCTCTCTCTCTCTCTCTCTCTCCCCTTCCCTCCCTCCCTCCCTCCCACTCTATCTGAACAAAAAATGTAAAAATGTCCTTGGGTGAGGATAAAAAAAATAAAATAAAAAAATAATTATTCTCAGTTTTCTTAGGCTATCACCTATCATCTTACTGTTTTAAAATATGTTCAAGAACTATCCAGGTGTCCTGGCCAGGTGGCTTGGCTGGAGCATCGCTCCATACACCAAAAGGTTGTGGGTTTGATTTCCGGTCAAGGCACATACCTAGATTGCGAGTTTGATCTCCGGTCAGGGCACATATGAAAGGCAACCGATCAATGTTTCTCCCTGGCATTGATGTTTCTCTCTCTCACTCTTTCAAAAAAATAAATAAATAACAAATCCCCAAATAAGGATTAAAAAAAAAAAAAAAAAAGAATTATGACAGGTAAATGAAACCACATCACTCAGGTTAGCTTATAAAACTGCATATCAGAATCTTATAACTCATGAATCTACTTCATATATCATATCTGCTTGAGGAGATCATAGGCCAGGTTGCAGAGAAGTCACCTTGATATAGTGTCATCTTGAAACACATGCTAACTACAAATCTGCCTTTTTGTGGAGATGGCATCCACATGGTTAGTGGATGGCAATCCTGATACCCTGCAGGGCACACCCTTTGGTGTCCTTTAAACAAACCTTACTCTAATATAAACCTCCTGTTAACAATTTGAAGACTTCACTAAGTATCTAAAAGTTAGGGTTTTTTCTGTATCTATACAAAATATATGGGACTTAATATTACTTCCTCAAATACCAGTGATTTAAAAAGTTACTATAGGTTCTTTTCTCTTGTCTTTTATTAATACTTCATAAAGTAAGCCATGTGAATGTTCTCAAACCACCAAAATATATGATACTAATGAACCAGATCCTATGAGGTGACCTGAAAGAGCTCATTTGTCATATTAGACACCTGACATCCAATCAAAAAGGAAATTTGGTTCTGGGGAAAATCAGACTTATCGTTTTTGTCAAATTGCCACATAACTGGATTAGAGAAATATTCAGTGCCTTGCTCACCTAGAAAGAACTATATACAAAATCTTAATCTAGAAAATCCAAAAGAGGATAAAAAACATTTCCTTATTATAAGATCAATTAACAAAAGAGTTAATTCTGACTTGTAATCCGATTTTCATTTTGATTTTTGTAAGCCAACAGGAGACAGGCACCTCTGGTACTACAGCCTCTCCCATCCCTGGAAAATCTACTATTGCAATCAGCACAGGGAACACCGCTCAGCCACGCAACTTCACACCCACGCAGAAGCGAGTTGGTTGTCAAGCAAGCATAAAAGGATAGACTGCATATACAATTTTAAATATACCTTTCTGAGAAGATTCCATTCTGAAAAGAAGCGGTGTAAGCCTTTCTTTCGTCCACAGGCATAATGTCAACATACCCACCGTGATTTCGAACCACCCCGGCGTGCACTGCTGCTCTGCAGATACTGGACAACTGAGGGGCAAAACAAGACCTGCTGTTAGGAACTCCCTGCTGAACGGGTCCAGCTCATGCTTCTGCTAGACTGAAGTCACTGACCTCTGGCTCTCTGTGGATACTCAGTGAGCAGCGATGGGACAGTGATGTTTTGTACAGAAAGGAATGTTTCAAAAACCAAAAAGGTAAAGCCACGTCTGAGCCAGTCTAAGGGAAGAGCTTAAGGCTGGGTGCCATGGTGAGATGCCCTTCCCATCGAATCTAGTGAACACATGCTGCTTTTTCTTTTGTTGAAGCAATCAAATGCAAATCAGCTCCTTTGATCTCTTCATGGGCCTATTCATCATCTTCAAGTACCAGCCTTTGCTAGTCCTTACTGGAGTCGCTCTGACCTTATGTTCCCAGGCTGGATTATTGGTACCTCATTTATCTTCAGTTTTGACTTATAAAAACTCAAACATAGCTCTGCATATCTCTACAGTCCCTTTTCCAAGATACACGTATATATTAAATGGGGAATGTTTCTCTATTAAGTAATATAATCTCCTCAGAGAAAATTTGCCCAAAAGAGTAACCCCCCAAAAAATTATGAAGAACAACCATGGCTTCCACCCAGATGTGTAATGTCTACTGCCACCCCGGGTTGAATGGTCTGTTGTGAGGGACTAGGAGGGTTCTATGATCACTGCATTGTGCCAGTTGTATAATCTGGACTGAATGGGGTTTCTGTGGAGCAGAAAATTACTGTTTCAGGTCCAATACTCAAATTTTTAATGACTGACTTCTAGAAGTCAACTCTTTCCTTCGGCACGTCAACAAGTTCTCTGCTGAAATCTGTCAAGAGAGCGGTGTACAGCCTGAGGAGGTCCCACAGAATGGCGCGCAGACTGGTTCTGACAAAGGGATCCACCTCCTTTCCCCCCGGGTCTTCTCCGATCCTACTGGTGTTTTCTCATCTCCATGCACATGTGCACCCCACGACCTGGCTTTATTACTGTGCTCTGAACTTTGTGGCTTCAGTCAGGATTTATTAGATCACAGAGCCTGAACGCCAAGCTGGTTAATCCTTTTCACGTTTTGCTCTATCGTAAAATGCCATATATCTAAAACCTCACATCCTTACTCTCAGGAGGCATTTTATTCACCAGTTAAGTCCCCTACTGAATTAATATTTGTATCCAATACAGTCCATAACAGATGGAATTAAAAATAACTCTATACACATTTCAGTATTTATCTTGCTCCATTAAAAAAGACATTATCATCATTTTTCCCAAGGCAATAAAAGTGCTTAGATATAGCATTCACTAAATCCAAGCTCTTAGTGTGTTTTGAAACTATTGTTTTGCCCATAACTATGAAGTCAGCAGGCATTCTGATTTGAATTCAAAGATCGGAAGAGATTTTCTGTTCATACCCACATTGCATAAGCATTAATAGATAATGGGGAAAAAAGACTTTATCTGTTATAACAATGGAACATTTTTAATGAATGCAGAAATCAACTCTGTCTGTCACAAATGGGAAATAAAAGTTAAAAGCAAAAAATGTATAAGTTGTAACTCCACAAATGAAAAGAGAGAGGAAGGTGGGGGAGGGGAAAGGGAGAACGAAGGAAGGAAGTTGGCAGATTGATTCTCATCTTTGCATATCTTGTCTTTAAAGAGGTAATATATTTGTAGTGATGGGAAGATTGGCAGGTAATGGTTGAATCTTTCTCTGCGCTTTCCAGTGATAGTAATCTTTATATTTCCAACATATTCTTAATAGGATCTACATAATACTACCTAATTATGTATCCATTTTACTGAAGTAGAAAGATAAAATGATCTCAGGATATAAGTTCTAACAAATCCTTCCTTCTAGCAAAGAGATGTCACATTGGTATAGAAGAGCATAGGATATTTTGCAAGATTTTCGCCAGACATAATTAAAATGAAAAGTTTTGGTACTTAAATGGACAATCTGTAAAGAATGGTTTCTTTAGAATTCTCTGATGAATATAGATATGCTCATCCATATCCACTTACTAATTTATTTTTTCAACAAATATTTATGTGCAAGGTATTTGCTTAGTTTCTGATGTTCCTCTGTGCTCCGAGTTCTGCTAGGTCAGGGAGCCGGGCTGTCTTGTTCGCAGCTCAGCACCCATCAGATTGTCGGTGAAAAGGTAATACATGAATTGTCCAGCTGCTATCTTCAAGGGACTTAATTAATAGAAAAGGTGGGGAAACAATAATAATACCTAACAGAATCAGCTAAGTGCTAACAGGAGAAAACAAGGTAATAGGATTGAGTGAAAGGTGACATTATCCTTGGATACGCTTCACAGAAAGAGTCGCCACAGTTTAGGATGTAAAGAATGACCATGATTTTGTCTGACAGAAAAGCAGAAAAAGGATGTTTTTAAACCGAAACAAGAAGACACAGACAAACATGAGGACTAGCAAGTTACAATACCCACAGGATGAGCAAGCTGCAGATAAGAACACTGCAAAGCTGGAGCCTGGGAGAGTGAGGTGTGGCGAATAATTTCAAAGGTAAAGCTGAACTGAAAGAAACACCTGGATCTAAATGAACTTACCAAGAGAAATAAGGTGGTAATGTATATATTTCAGACCTCTCTTCACAGTCCTATTTCCATAGTATCCGACTGAATATGTGCATCAAGAGTATTATTTCCTAAGCGCGATTCTGTAACTCTCTGGTTTAGAAACCTCTGATGGTTTCTAAATGGCTGCCACCCACAGTCCAGTCATCAGGGTGCATTCAGACTCTCCACTTGTTTCAAGAGCTGGATCTCTCTACACATCCCACTAATGGGCTGCGGCCATTTGAGCTTCAATTTTCACCAGCTCAGACCAACAAACCCATGTGCTGTGCTTGCTTGCAGCTCACGTGCTCCCCCTGCATGTCTCCGTGGATGCCACTCACCCACCTAGACTGTGTTCCTTAATCCGCTTGACCAACCCATGCTTGCAACCTGGCTCAAGAGGTACTCATCTGATCCAAGGCCATCCCCACTAACATTCCTTGTCTACTCTCAGGGATGTCATCCACCACAGCATCCCCCCTGGCTTCCTTTCATACCTATTCTAGGGTATCATCTGTTTGTGATTCTATGCTACTTTTTAAATGCCCCTTTGGCACTGAAAATATTGTTCCTACATTTGACAAATTCTTAATTATTCACTTTATACTTCAAATACTGAAGAACCAAAAGGAAGAGTAGAGAAAAGCAAAATGCATTTTCCTTCCAAGAATGCCTCCAGACTATTTCATTAAGTGCCTGATATAAGATATATGGGTAGCATATAAAGAAAAATGTAATCAAATTAAATTACTGTACACCCAGATTTAAATATTGATATTCATTTTTCAGTATTATTCATAGTTAACCCTTCCAAGAAATCCAATGTCAATGCAGAATCCATTTCCTTATTCTGTATAGTGGTCCCCCCTTATCGGAGGGAGCTACTGTTCCAAGAACCCCAATGAATGCCTGAAACAGCAGATAATACCGAACCCTATATATACTATGTATTTCCCATACATACTATGATAAAGCTTAATTTATAAATCAGGCACAGTAAGAGATTAACAAAAATAATAAAATAGAACAATTATAAAAATAAACTGTAAAACAAGTTATGCAATGTGGTTGTGGTCTCTTTCTCCTCCCCTTCTCCTCACCGCCCCCCTCAGAATATCTCACTGTCCTGTACTCATCTGTCACTTGAAGGATGCACTGTATGGCTTCTCTTGGGCATGTCTCAATCACCAGCATCCCTACTCTTGCACTTGGGGCCATTATGATGGAAAGTTCGGGTGAGTTGAATGCAAGCCCTGTGATACCCTGACAGCTGATATGATAACAGTCGGCGACTAAGGGACTAACGGGAGGGGAGCATTACGGTATGGAGATGCTGGACAAAGGGGTGCCTTTTTCTGATTTTCTGTCATTCACAACCCGGGTGGGACAGAGCAGGATATCATTCAATTTCATCATGCTACTCAGGACAGCATGCAATTTAAAACATATGAATTGTTTCTCTGTGAATTTCTTGTTTAATTTTTTCAGACCACAGTTGGCAGCAGGTAACTGAAACCAAGGAGCGTGAAACCATGAATAACATGGGGAAACTACTGCAGTGTAGGAGAGCACTCAGAATGAGGACAACGTAAGGAAAACACTGACACAGAGACTCTCATGTAGCCTTTAACGTCACTGTATTTTTAAAAACTCCTATAAAATAGTTAATAAATCAAGAAAATGTACATATACACATTTAAATGTGTGTGTATGTATGTACATGTATGGGACCTATGGAACTTACACACACACACACAGGCACATACTCATGAATACTGAGAGTCGCATAAATTAGGATACTTACATCAGAATAAACTCGAGTTCCAATTACACGAGCATAATGTGGGTTTGCCTGCAGACAGTTACGAGGGCAGTACACTCTGAAAATAAATATTGATTTATTAATAGTAAGTAGCTGTTTACGTCAGTCTTGCTTATTAGCAAGACTACGGCATGCATACACACAAGTAAACTCAGCATTCTAAACCCTATGCATTTTTTTTCCCTTCTGAAATAGGTAAAATGTAAAAGCCAGGCATTAGACATAATTGCTTCTGCTTACCCTAGCCACCTCCAGCCTTTAGAACAAATGTGTTTCTTTTCTTTAAAAAATAAAATAAAATAACCAGGAAGCTTTCTACTGTAGGGATTCAAAGCAGAAAGAAGCATCCGGAAGTAACTCAGTGTCTGGGTGTTTGGTACCCAACGTGTCTGCAGAATTTACTAAGCAGATAACTTGGAAAATTGGAATCACTGACTCATTCATCTCATAGTTTCTTTTCTCTGTGTTCACATCTTGGGTATCTCATCCAATTTCACGGTTTTAATGATCATCTGTAAAAACGGTTGATTTCCAAATTTACATCTAGAGTTGAGACCATAATAATTAAAGTATTTAATAATAAATGTGTATATCCTTCTGCTTGTGCCATATCTTCACTGAGATCTAATAAACTTCTCAAACTTAGCATGTTTAAACCCAAGTCCCTACTCTCCTCCACCAGTCCCTAAATATGTTCTTTCTGTAGGCTTCCGACAATACATGGCAACTCCGTTATTCCAGGTGCTGCGGCCAAAAACCTTTATTCTAAATCTCTCTCCTTATCTCACACCTTACATTCAACCCAACAGCAATTTCTAAAGACTGTAAATAAAGTGTATCCAAACCAGAGCATTCCTAAGCAGCTCACCACTCTAATGCTGGACTCTATCATCGGACGTCTGGCTTATTGCACAAGGCTCTCCCACGACCTCCCTGCTTCCGACTTTGCCCCATCCCGTTTACTTTTTCCACACACTTATACTGAAGGACAATCATGTCACCCCACTGCGCCAAATAAGCACTCCAGTGGCTTTCCGTCTCATTCAGAATTCTAAGATCCTTACGTGGCCAATAAACCCTGCATATTGTCCTCCCATTTCCGCTCTCACCTTGTATCCAATCTTCCACCTGTTCACCCTATTCCAGTCACACTGGTTTTGTGACCAATGGTTCTGCCTCAGGGCCTTTTCACTTCTCTTCCTCCACATAGAGTGTTCTTTCTCCAGACATCCTACAGCCTGCCTCACTGCTATCTGATTGGCTTAGAAGTGTTTAAAATGTTCCCAAAGCTCTTTATTTAAAAATAGGGTCCAATTATCAGTGTTCAGTCAATTACATGATATTAAAATTTCTACTCCCAGAGTTTAAGAAACTGTCAACTGGCACCTTTGAGTTCATTTTCTCTTCCTTCTCTCTCTCTCTCTCTCTTTCTCTCTCTCTCTCTCTCATACAAAACTGTAAAAAACATAATTCACTTAACATAGGAAATTAGTCTCAACAAAATGACTAAAACCATTCTTTGATGAAGATATCAAAGATTTTCCTAAAAATATTCTAAAAATGCCAGTGACAACTACCTTTACCAAATGAAGTGTTTAGGAAATAACTACATTTCTTAAATTTTTTATGTCTAAAATGTGAATAACACTGTACAATCTAGAGTGTACTTCCCAGAACATCTAAACCAGAACCATTTACATATAAATGAATTTGAGTTTTTATAACTTTGAACTAAAGGGTTGATTTTTGTAAGAGACACTGTTGGGGGTTTCTATAGGAGGAAGGGTGTCCCCATAGACTTCTAATTTTCTCCTTGCAGTTTAGAACTGTTGGGTATTCAGTGACTATGCTATGATGGTAAAACTACCTACTCTGCCTTTAGGATCATGCTGTGTGGGCTCTCCCTTGACCTCATTTAGTACCTGGTTTGTGGAAGGCCTAGGTCAGTAGCTTCAAACTGGGTTAGTTTTTACTTAGGTGATTTCAGGTCAAAGAGAGACTGGAGAAAGTTTTATTTTTAAAAAAAGTATATATATTTTTTATCATTGACAGTATTACAGGTCTCCCCCTCCCCCAACCCTTTCCCCCCTCCACCCATCCCCTACCCCTCCTAGGCTTTCACCACACTATTGTCTGTGTCCGTGAGCTATGCATATAAGTATATAAGTTCTTTGGTATATTTTTTCTCATCTTCCCCCCACTCACCCTGAGACATGTCAGTCTGTTCCATGCCTCCATGCCTCGGGACTTATTTTGTTGGTTAATTCATTTTGTTCATTAAATTCCACAAATAAATGAGATCAAATGGTACTTGTCTTTCTCTGACTGCTTTATTTTACTTAGCATAATAATCTCCAGGTTCATGCTGTCTTAAAGGGTAAGAAATCCTTCTTTTTCACAGCTGTATAGTAATCCACTGTGTACATGTATCAAGCTTTTTTTATCCACTCATCTACTGATGGGCACTTGGGCTATTTCCAGATCTCAGCTATTGTAAATAACACTGCTATAAACATAGGGCTGCATATATTCTTTCTGATTGGTGTTTTGGTTTTTAGGATATAGTCTCAGAAGTGGGATCATTGGGTCAAATGGCAGTTCCATTTTTAATTTTTTGAGGAAACTCCATACTGTTTACCACAGTAGGGAGGATGTGGTGAAAAGAGAACACTAGTTCATTGCTACGGAGATTGCAGACTGGTGTAGCCACTATGGACAACAATATGGAGTTTCCTCAAAAAATTAAAAATGGAGGACATTTTTGCTTCATTGTGTTCTAATCTCTGGTTTTAACACCTTGTTACTACTGAGAATGTAGATAGTGAGCTAGTAAACATTCCTTTACCTACAAGTTGCTTGTGAGCGTTGAATGAAAATGCTGACACATTTTAATGACACCTGTTTTTACACTGGGAGCATGCAACGGGTTTTAACATCTAATTGTTCTCAGATATATGTAAAATGGTATAAGATTGCCAATGATGCACACACACACATTTTCTGCAAGGTTATTGTACTAAATATTAGAGGCAGTATTTTGGGCTCATCTGCCAGGTACAGAACCTCTCAAGGACACAACGTCCAGAAATCTTGTTTTTTCCTGCTCATCTTAAGTTAATATCTAATTTATCTGCTCTTGACTTTTTCCCCCCAGAACAGATTCATGCCTCAACTTATTTAAGTGATACAAACTAAAACAAATATACTGTCAACATGGTTCCCTAAGAGTCATAAAATGTCATATAAATAATACCACTATGAAGTAATTGATGAAACTATTAAAATTTTCATATGAGGAAAGAAAGAAAACCTTTATTTCACTGGCCTATCAAAGCAAATGAGAGGGGGGAGCTTTCCAGACTAATTAAGGTCAAAATTATGCATAGCCCTGGTTGGTTTTGCTCAGTGGTTAGAGCGTTGGCCCAAGGACCAATGAATCGCAGGTTCGATTCCGGTCAAGGGCATACACCTCGGTTGCGATAAGTCCCCAGCCCTGGTCAGAGTTGTGCAGGAGGCAAACAGTCGATGCGTCCCTTTCATATTGATGTTTCTTTCTCCCTCTCTTTCTCTCTCTCTCCCTTCCTCCCACTCTATTTGAAGAAAAATAGAAAATATCCTTGAATGAGGATGAAAAAAAATTATGCATAAATCATTATTTCCACTTATTTGTTATATTAGTGATATAGTACAAGTTAATTTTTTTAAATTATATAATTTCCCTTTGGGGATGGGGGTAGATATCTCCCTTCCTGAAACGAGCAAAGAAATAAAAAAACGTATTTCTTAATATTTTATTTGAATGATCTTCCACTTTGGAACAATATTGCTATAAATTGTTCCATAGATATAAAATCAATGTTTATCGAGCATCTCCTACAGGGAGGCTTTATGCTGAAAATCTCCACTGATATTTACTATTCAGTCCTATAAACTGTGTCACATGGCTGAGAGAGGGCCTAGCATAATACTGGTGTGTAGTAGGCATTTAATCAACGTATCAATGAAAAGTTCTAAAATTCTTCCTTTTTCTCCCCCACCATATCACAATGTTAAAATTTCCTAGATTTACCTAGCGATCTTTTCCTTCTCTCTATAAAAATACAATCTATAAATATAGGCATTTAAGATATTTGAGAAACAATTCTACAAAATTTCCTAAGATTATAAAACACTGTGATTTTCATAGAATTTGTGAGCCTGGGAAGAGCATAATGAGTAAAGCTTTAGCAAGAGGTATTTTTATAACAAAAACATTTGATGTGTGTTTAGAGCAGCCCGAGCAGACGGAGACAGAACTCTCATAGCTCATGTGACCATACGGATCATATGCACAAGCCCAGCTGCCACAAAACAGCACAGGTGCTGGGCATTTGGAGGAAGAACTCTAGGAATGCCTGGGCTGCGTGGACGTTGTGATGGCTCATTGCTACCTGCTGCCTAGCAGCTTGAAATCACACACCTTTTGAGACCTAGACACCAGAATTTCAGGCTAAAGCAGTTACCACAGGATAAAAGTACCTTACATATTCACTGGTGAAAAAGAAGAACACTGAGAAAACATTACCTTGGGCAGTGTGAAGCCGGCTTGTGAAACGGACAGAGCTGTTCCACCGTGGTCTCACAGGTGACAGCCTGAACTGCAGAATCCAAACACAAACACAGAGCACGTGCTTTAAAACAATACCATGCAACACGGTAGTAAGAAAGGAAGGTGAAAAAAAATGCTAACCTGTTACTTTGGAGACTGTGAAGGAATTAGCAGACTGATATTTGCTGAAGGAGAAAACACAAAATGTCAATTTTTTTCTTGTAAGTATCATCGTCCACATAACATCTGGTATGTTTTAGGTCTATGAATACTTTACTTTTCTTAAACATTCTTATTTAATTATTTAAATATGTAGTAATAAAAGATCATCTATTTTATGTTAAATTTATATTACCTAAAAGGATGAACCGAATCAGTATCATTCTTAATATTAGAGAATGAACTCCTCATTACCAATTTCAAAAATGTATAGAAAATATCACAAAACAGTACACATTTAGCCGTGGCCAGTTTGGCTCAGCGGTTAGAGCACTGGCCCGAAGACCAGAGTCGTGGGTTCGATTCTCAGTCAAGGGCATGTACCTGGGTTGTAGGTTCAATCCCTGGCCCAGGGTGGGGTCATGCAAGAGGCAACCAGTAGATGTGTCTTTCTCACATTGATGTTTCTCTCTCTCACTCCCTCCCTTGCCCCCCCCTCCTCTATATGAAAATCAATGGGAAAATATCCTCAGGTCAGGATTAAAGAAAACAAAAGATAAAAAATACACTATATGTATATATTTGTTTCCTGTTATAATTAAAACTTTCAATATACTTATTCCGTCACCATAGAATCAAATTATTTAATCTTTCACAATAGTAAATACAAGGTAGTGTTGTAAAAATACTACATAATAAGTACCTTATAGGAGTGTGTTTTATTTAATCCCTCTAGTATTTAGTAAAATGTCTACAATAAGTGAATGCATTCTTCTTCATTATTAAAAAACAGGTATAAGAACAGATACACCATTATACATAAAAAATGTGATTGGTTTATCTATATCCCAATTTCAGAAAAGCATCTTTTATAAAAGGTAAGGCTTATTTGTGATGGTGTTTCAGTGACACACCCTTCACACTTCAAGAGAGTTTCCATGATAACCATAATCAAAAACTAAGTTAAGAGGAAAATAAATAAAGAAATAGGATAAATGTTTTTAAATCCAATATCCAGTGTTTGACTTACCAAAACTAATAACTAATATTATTATTTATTTAAAGAAGTTAATATTTTCAGAATGAGTCAGTTAATAAATGTCTCTATAGAGCTTTTGCTTGAGAGTAATGGCTAAGGGCTGACAGCCACACATCCGGCCTGTGATCAAAACTGTCTACAAAGGAGATCGTTACTCAAATTTGCAAGGGTTTTCAATAAATGCTTATCACTATGAATTCCAACTTTACTGTGGAGTTTCGTGCAACTGTATATTTACAAAAGAAAGAAACTATGTCACATTTCCTAAGAAAAGGCATTCCATATGAGGTTTAATAATGTTTATTTCTTTCACACAGAAGCAAGAGACACTACAAAAATATTTCCAAACCCCATTTTCTTACTTTTTATAGAATGTATATGAAAATGTAGTGTTTTAGAATAACATATTTAGTGTTCTTAAAAGAATAAATATTTTAAAAGGTAATCACTGCTTTTATGTTGGATTAAATTACATTTAAATGAACACAAGAAAGGTGACCTGTTACATACTTAGGGACTTTTCAAAATGCTCTTTTATCAACTCATCTCAGTTTATTAACAAATTTACTGTTGAAAACAAGCAAAAACAACCAACAAACAGAAAAAAAACACAACTATTCTCCCTAAACAGTGCAGGGAGAATATACAAATCAATAAGCCTTCTCTGCAGTATTTTCTGTCATAGATGAAAAGTTTATTGGCTCACATTAAAAATCACTGTAAATTTTTACATTGTTGATGAAACTCTAGAAAAATTTCTAGTTTCAGCATGCTCTTTGGAAGCAAAGGCGTTCAACTTTAACTTAGATACTTGTCTCCTTTTTGTCTATGGAAATGTTGTAGCCAAATTGAATCTTAAAAATAACCAACTTCTCTCTAAATAAATTTTTCTATGCTTTGCCCCAAAATAATTTATTAACTCATTGCTATGATTTAAAATCACCTGGTCCAAAATATCATTCAGGTACTTACCCAATTGTTTGAATGCCATTTCTATTAGATTTGATGAAATAATGCTTTCTTCCTTGTCTAGTGATATCTACCCAACCACCATCATTGTCTATTATACCATAATGAATTGCAGCTTTACAAATGCTGGATTGCTTGGTGAAAAGGAAAAAAGAAAAAGATACCAAAGTATTAGAGTTTTGCATAAAACACAACTAGTTACTATTTACATGACTTTAGATTAGACAAACATTTCTGAGCAAAATATCTATACTTAATAAATAAATGATTTTCATATTAAAATATCAAGTATTATGTGAAAGGACTCTACCCCCAAATAATTGTATTTATAATACTTACCATTTCATAATATACACTTCCGATAACTTTAGCTTTACTATCCACACAGCCAGCAGGGCATTCATATCTAAATGAAAGAAAATGGGACAAAATATAGTTTCTCTGAATGTCAATATAAAATGAAAATATTTCTGACATTTTGTCAGTCAATTTTGAGGCTAAGAATAAATATTACCTATTGCAAGTTGTTCCCTTGCACTGATCTCTTAATCTTACTTCACAAGAAACAATTTGGGCTGAAAGAAAAAAAAAAAAATTAACTTAGATAATGTAAAAGCTGCTATAATTCTTCACAGTCAATCTAATGCCAAGCCTTTACCATTCTAAAAACATGAAAGCTAATAAATACAGATGGGTAGATGGGTATGCTACCTATGTGAACCTTAAAATTCCTGTAAATAATGCAGAAGACTTACACATTTGCTGCATGCTTATGACTTCGTTGGTGTTACTATCATCTGCTCTTGTCCGCACGTGGCTGTCATGGACTTGTGACTGCTGGCGCTCAATCTCATTGGTTTCTTCTTCTCGGGGAGTATAGTACCGCTCTGATCCTTCTGTCAGAGAGAAAGGAGTTAAGAAATATGAATCCCTCGTAGATGTGCACAAATGTCAAATGACGATCAATCTTGACATGCCTGTTCAACATTTAAAACTAGAAAAATCAGCCCTGGCCGGTTTGGCTCAGCGGTTAGAGCATCAGCCTGCGGTCCACAGAAACCCGGGTTCAGTTCCCGCTAAGGGCATGTACCTTGGCTGCAGTTTGTCCCCGGCCCTGGTTGGGTCGTGTGGGTGGCGGCCACTCGATGTGTCCCTTTCACATCGATATTTCTCTCTCTTCCTCTCTCTCCTTCCCGCTCTATCTGAGTAAAAAATGGAAAAATGTCCTCGGGTGAGGATAAAAAAAAAAAAAAAACTAGAAAAATCAGTACTGTGTTTAGCACAGATTTTTACTGAAGGAGGTACTCTTATACACTACATTGGAGTAAATGAAACACACATCAGCCTTAGAGCCCTTGATTTACTGCTACTGTTTGGCTAATGTTAAATGGAATCATCTCTAAACTTTGAATTTTAACATGTTATCAGTGACACGTTTTTGTAAGACGTTATGAAGTCTACACAGTGATCCAATAAAGTCAGGGCTTAGTGAATTTAAATGTTTTCCCAAATGAAATCATATTCTGAATATTTTCAGGAGGATCATGTTTAAAATTCTCCTGTAAGAAAATTCAGCCAACAGAAGGATTTATATATACTTGTTACTTATTTCAGTATCAGTTTTCCTAAAAAGGTGGCTGTTGTTTTTCTTTTTCAGAAGCAAATTCAATATGCAGAAATTTAAACTTGACAGTGGAGCCCACCCAGTGTGACTCAGTTGAACATCAACCCATGCACCAAGAGGTCGTTGGTTCAATTCCTGGTCAGGGCACATGCCCAGGTCTGGGCCAAATCCCCATTGAGGGGCATGCGGGAGGTGGCCAATCAATGTTCTCTCTCATTGATGTTTCTATCTCTCTCTCCTTCTCCCTTCCTCTCTCTCTAAAATCAATAAAGGAAAAAAGAAATTTAACTTGACAATAAAGAATAATTTCAAACTTTGAATTTAATATGTTTTCCAGGTTGAATTAGATCAAGGACTTGACACAGGCACATTTGGGAGAACCGTGTCATGTCATGTGTGTGCAGGGGCTCAAGAACTCAGAAAAAGGAAATCAGAGTAAGTCACGTTTAAGTAAACTATATTGACCACTGGCGATGGGGTAAGTAGGTTGGAGGTTTGGGGGTAAAGAAGACAGAAAACAGACACACACACAATGAAAAATCCTTCCAGGAATTAAAAATGGCTCATATAACAGAGGGAAATGTATGGTCACTTCCGAAAGGAAGCTTATTATAATGAGCATTGAGTCATTAAGAGAGAAAGGGGGGCATATCTCCTTCTGAATGCTGAAAAGAGGATGCATTTATTCATAGATTTTCTAATACGCTTAGTCTACATTAATCTTCGCTTAGTCATTAACAAAAATAACAAGAGTAAAAAATGTTCACATGGATAGATGCCCACCAAAAGCATGATGACTTTCACAGAGCTCTGTCATGTACATTTATCTTCATGTGCTATAAAGAGGACACCATATTTGTATTTACCTTTAGGAAATCCAATGATTTGAGAGCATTGCTTTTACAATGGTTTTACAATACTATCACACTCTTTGTTATTTTGGCGTGAGAAATTGTATACCCTACAGTGAGAAGCAGAGAACTGGTATAATTCATTGAGTACAGTTCAAGTAAGAATCATGGGATTTTGTCAGAAGCCTTTAAAGTGCTAAAAATAAATTGGGTTAAATTGCTAAATCCTTCAAAAATGATTAGTTACAGAAATGACTCCAGTCAACAATATAACAACACGACTTCTAAGAATGTAAATATACTTGTCACTCTGGAATAAATTCCAAGCACAATTAGAAATCATCTAGAATAATCATGAAACTTTCCTCTCAATACATATTGATATAAAGGGCATTCATATGAAGTATATTTTTACATAATCAAAATGGCATCTTCAAAATATTTGAAATAGAGTTCTGGAAATTTTCTGGTAACCAAATGCACATTTCTTTTTCAAAACAGTAATTAATGCATATACTGGATTAAAATGTCACTCAAACTAAATATGCGACACAATAGCACATACCTTTGTAGCACAGGTTTTCTCTGCAGCCTCCTCCGAAGCTAGGTGGGCATGCAGAGCACGGCCTCCCGTGCTTGTAGGGGGCGTGGCCCCACCAGTTCCCCCTGAGAGAGAGAACCAGTCCTCTTTTAACAGGTAGTCTAATAGCATCATTTACAAGACACTGCAAAATATTACTGTATAAGAATCTTCTAAGTGATGATTTTGACGTGTAGATTTAAAGACATTTATATCTTTTATCACAGAATATTTTGGTGACTAGGGTTCAATATAAACTGCTGCCTCATTCTTTTGAAATATACTAAATAATATGTTATGCATAGTGATAAAAAAATTACAAAATCAAACTTTTGCAGAACACCAAACTCTGCTATGGACTATTCATCTATATTCCATTTGTTTTAATAAATACAAATTTTAGACTTAGCTTTGACCCTGTGTATGATTGTGTAATATTTTCAATGTAATCATTTAAATAGTCTTTACATAGGTAAAAATATATTTCTCGGTCAATCTACAGTTGTTCATCCCTAACAAATCAAAGTGATTGACTATTTTTGCAATGTAATAATGCACTGAGTAAAACCAAAGGCATAAATAGGATTCCTGACTTCACAAAGATCTTATTTTCAACTTTCTATTCCTTTTAAGCACTGGTTTCACACATCAGGCAACCATAATTATTGTCAAATTAAGTAAACTGAGAAAACAATTTACTTTACTCACTAATACCCCCTGAAAATGAGAAAAAAAGTCAGGAATATTAAGTTATTTTCATGCTGTTAAGAAACATTTATATATGAAAGTAGCGTTTGGTCTACGTACTTTGGGGAATAATTACACACCAAGTAGACGGCCTTGGGCCATATCTGCCCCCAGATGTTCATGTTATGGCACAAGTTAATGGCACAGCCTATCCTGCTGCTCGTTGCCCACACCACCTACAGCAGAAACAAGAGAGGCTCAGCAAAGGCAAGTAGAGATGAAGTCATACACAACGTATATGAGAGAAGATGTGCAAACCTGAACTTGAGAAGCAAACATTTATCATTCAAAATAAAATGAGGCAATGTCAAAAAGGATATTTTCCCTGAGACTTGGGGAAGTGCTTCATTCAATTAAAATAACAGATCTACAGCTCCATAACTCTATCTTGCCATCAGATGTAAGAGTCTTGAATTTACTAAATGATTCAGAAGTTACCTCCTTCCTCCCCAACCTTAATTCTGTGTTAATATTTCTCTGAAGAAACTTAACAGAGGAACATCATTTCTCATCTTACATAGAAAATACCAGAGCAAAATTTAGGTGTTCAATGTCTTACACAACACAGCATGTTCAGTGGGCCGCGGGTTACTAGGGAGTTCCATACTGATCTTAGTCTGGTCACATGCAAAGGCATATGAGACAGCATGTCTGCTTTATATTCCCTAATAATCGCCCACAGATCTTCTGGAAACTCCGAACTGAGGTGAGCTTATCCACTTGAATCTGCCTTCAGTTGTGTGATTTCAAAGCTAAAACATATCCACTACCAAACATTAAAAAAAAAGAAAGATGCATGCTTCACACATGTAAATGCCAAATATCATTCATAAAGAAAACACTATTTTTATTATTTGGAAAATTAAAAAAAAAAAAAAAATGACACCTGAATTTGAAGAGAGTAAATTTCTCCCCATTTGCATTTACGGAGGTCATATTGTAACTGTTTCATATGTAAAATAATGGCAATAATGTCTTTTTAAGTATATTTTTGGACAGTTTTTCCCAATCATTCCCTTTATTGTTTATAGAAATGTCTAAACTTATTCTCCATAAATCAGTAACTATAATTAAAAACCATAACAAAAGACATAAGACACGAGTTCAGTAGCCTAAGTTCTCCCAACTTAGAGAAATGAAGTATAATGTACCCAAAGCATACCTGTGTATAATGAGTACATACAGGACCAGAACATCTGAACGGGCAATACGGGTTGCACTCATGTTCATATGGGTAGCTGAAGTCTCTCACTTCATCATACCATGCCTGTACATGAAATGTTGGGGGCCTGTATCTATTTGAAATAAAATGAGCACAAAGAGCAAGTAAAGTTGGAGAAAATGTAAAACCAAATATAGCACATAGATTGATAAAGCAGGGTAGAGAGACTTTTGTGTAAGTTATTAGTCTTAAATACTTCTGCCCATTACATTACTACTAGATCAGTGATTTAAAACAAAAATAAGTCTCAAATACTGCTGATCATACTTATTTATTTTTTATTATTCATGTTGGTGTGATTACTTGCTTTTCTTGATGGTGCCAAGTCTTTGAAAATGTGCTACGTGAATTAATAAGCATTTCATTTCAAACATTTTTCAGAAACAAAGTCACATTTTCAGCTACCTTCCCCAATGTGCTCCCAAGTTCTGTCCGATCGAGGGAAGCAAGCTTGCAGGCCCGTGTTCCCACAAACAAGTTTCAGCCCAGGACTCTGCAGATCTTTCCAGCTCGACATCCCATGTCTGTAGTTCAAAACAAAAGCAAACAGATGCAAACATTTAATGTATATGTATAATTTGGACATTTCTTCTAAATATAGTGCTGCTTAGCTCTTATGCTTTCTCCCTTCTTACGTATTTGTAAAGTCAACACCTTAGTCTGGATGCGCACCATCTCTCACCAAGATGTTTGCACTAGCCTGCTACTTAAAATCCTTGCCTTATCTCTCACGCCTCCAATCTGATCTACTGAGTGTTTGCAATTATCCAAGTGAACACAAATACACTTACGTGATTCCTCTGTCTGAACACATGCAACAAGTCCCCACAACCGTGAAGTCTAAGACTCTCGGTCCCTCTGTTCCCCAACACAAACCCTGTTATTCCTTGCTCTCCTTGGCATTGTTTCCTCTACCTAAAATATCCTCTCAGTTATTCATCAGACAGACCCCTACTCTCCCTTCACAATCCAGTTTTATGTAATACATTCTTGACACCTTTCCAATTCTCTCAGATGCCAACTATTCCCTCCTTGGGGCTCCTGAAACTTTGTTATACACCTTTGTTCAGCAGCTATTACTCTGCAGTGTTAGTATTTGTCTATATGTTTATCTCTTTCTTGAGACTGTGAGTTGCTCAGGGAAGTTATTCAGGTCATGATGTTGTCTTGGGCCTATTTTCTGTATCATATGGACAATGTGGTTAAAATGTTTGTTGAATACATGAATAATTGAATCTGATTCCTATAAAATGTATATGCATTTTAAATACAACATTCAATGAGGGTGATTAATTCATTCTCTAAAAACAATTCATAAAGAAAGATTTAAAATTAAAAAATTATTACTGAAATGATCTTGCCTATCTTGGGTTTAATATTCGATGTGTTCATTTGAAAGGCACTCCATGTAGTGAGCGTGGTGGTAGAAACACAGAGCTAGGTAGAACTGCATCCAGCTCTGGCACGATCAATTACAGGACTCTGGGCACGTGAAGAGGAGAGAAAATACTCCTGGAACAAGAACATGGGGAAACGACCTAAGGGACAGCAAAGGGACCAAAAGAGCAGGCAGACTGCACTGATGATAGGAATGTAAATCCCTAGAACTAATGGATGACCGAACTTGGTGGTGGTGAGGGGGGGAAAGTGTCGACTGATGATGTTAGCAAATTGAGAGAAAGAAAATACAGAAAGAGGAACCCCTGTTGTAGTGGGAATGTTTGTGGACCGCTACACGCACTGTACATGTCAGATAGAGGGTGGAAATATATCGCTGGGTTCTGGGAGAAGAAATATTTTCAGAGCATATGAATTTTGAGGTTATTCATTCAGAGATGAATTTCTCCAGGAAGATGATATAAAGTGAGGAGAGGAATGAAAAGAAAATCCTGGAATATCAAAATTGAAGGAGAGAAAAAAACAATGAGTTAGTAAAATAAACTAGGAAAGATGGGATCCAAAAGGTTCAGAGAAAACTGTAAAAGGATTACATTTTAACAGCGAAGGGACAAGCGACTCCAGGAAGAGTGGGCATCAAGGTCAATGCCAGAGAGGAGTCCAGAAGGATGAGGTCTGCTAAGCGCTCATCCGTGATTAAGAGCAATTTCAGCTCAATGCTCGGCAGAGAAACAGGAAGTGACAGGAAAGAGAAAGTCAGGAAAGCAAGTGTGGCTTCTCTGTTAGTAATACTCCAGAGAAGAAGAAAACAGAGGGAGCAGAAACTTAAAAAGCTAAGACGCCAGGGTCTAGGGAGAATGTGTTTGCTGGTTTTCATTTTTGAAGGATGGCAGAAATCTAATCATGACTGTAGGTTGAAAGGAAAAGACTCTAAGGAGAGAAGGAAAGAAGAATGTATGGGGAGAAGTTTGTTTATTCATTCATATAAATTTGCATAAATGAACATGCCTCCTCATTCCATTGTGAATCTGAAATACATATGTTCATGTTTTCAAAGCCCAAAAGTAAAATTTATACCAAATTAGAATAAGTATATTCTTATTATAGTAGATATTTATTATCTAACAAAAATGTATCTCTACATTAACTAAAAATTTGAGAGCAGCAAAAGTACTTGATTTTCATGAAAGCTTTAATTTTACTTTGAATCAATGTCAAATATTCAGGATGAGAGATTTTGTGATACTTACATCAGAAATGTATGCTATAAGTATTTATCAGGCAAGCCCTTTATTTGCCAATCATGGGCATACTATTTCTTAAATTCATTACTTAAATTAGGCCTAATTAAATTCTGCAAGTAATTATACAAAGATATAATTCAAGTTGCTGTCGTTATTAACCAAACAAATTAGGTAAGAAAAAAAAATTGGTTACACAGTCCCAGAAAATGGGCACGATGCTGATTTCCTTTTGTACGCAGTAGGTTACATGGTGAGAGAGTACAGTCATCCCTCAAAAGCAAGCAGGTTTCCAGGTAGAGCTCCCTGGAAAGTCATTTGTCTTAAAGAGACAAACACATTCTTGTCTTCGATCTTCGAAACCAGGTTCTTGCCAAGCACTTGGTCATAGGTACAGTAAAACTACACTTACCCATAGGTTTCTAACCCAGCAACCTCACATTCAAAGAGCAGCCAAGAACCAGAAGAAAAGCAAACAGTTTTTAGATGGCTTAAAAAAAAACAAAAAACAATGCTTGAAACCACTGTCATGATTTTACAGTATGAAAGGTGGAGTTAAATCCCATCCCCTTCCTTTCAGTTTGAGCTGGAAAGTGACTCCTTTCTAATGAACAGAATGACATTGTGAGACTTCTCAGGCTGGGTTAGGAAATATAGCCTCTACCTGGATATTCTTCTTTTAAGGCACACCTGAGCCCAAAATGAGGAGCCCAGCAGCCCTGCAGAAGTAGCTGGAGAGATCACATGGAGAGATAACACAGAGACAGAGATGCAGGAGAAGTTTCTAGTTTGAGTTTTCCCAGCCCAGGCACGAGATCGGTCAGTGTGCAAGTTCAGGTCACTGCAAACATGCGAGAGACCCAGCGAGAACCACCCAGCTGAGCCCTTCGGAGACCTGAAGACCTTTATTCAAGGTCATTTTACTCTTTCCTGCACATGATGCCACAAACTTAGACATCTGTTTTTCCTATGAAGTTGAAGATGGGTCCTTTTTAGAGAGGATATATATAAAACCAATCCCAAATTCACAAAACATGTTATAATTTGTTTAAATATCTGCTGTATAGACAGTGAAATAAAATCTAAAACATATTTAAATCCTTTAGCCTAAGTTTTCTTACTTGTAAAATGTGTCAGTTGAAATAGAAGGTAACTTATGCACCTTCAAGGACTAAAATTCAATTAAGTATACACTGTGGATAAGCTGTTTTTATGGTGTGACAAGTTTTCTATCTAATCCATTGAAAATGAGGAAAATATATCAAATGAACTATAATAAAGCTAAACTAGGGACATACAATACTTTAATATAAGAACTGAGGCACAGGAGCCTGCAACTAAAACTTAATATCAACATTTAATAGATAATAATTAGTGACAATTTTAATTTTTTTATTTTTAATCCTCACCTAAGGATATTTTTTCCATTTATTTTATTATTTTTTTTAGATAGAGTGGGAGGGAGGGAGGGAAAGAGAGAAATCGAAACAGCAAGGTGAGAGAGACACATCGATTAGTTGCCTCCTGCATGACCCTATCTGGGGCCAGAACCAAACCTGCAACCAAGGTACATGCCCTGGACCGGGAATCAAACCCATGACTCTTTTGGTTCATGGGCAGACCCTCTAACTCCTAAGCCAAACAGGCCAAGGCAATTAGTGACCTTTTTAAAGTAATTATTTATTTAAAATCTAATCAAGCATAGGTGTTTAGGTCAAGTTCAATAATATAAATCAAGAAGATTCTTTTTAAAAAAAAAAACTACTAAAAATATAGTTGCCCTAAAAGAAATATTACCACAACAGCATGGAATGTATATTTTTATGCTACAACATTATATTTCAGGGTTTAAGACCACCAGTAATTCATACCAATCCCATTTAAATGTAGGTTAGTCTCTATACATTTCCACTTAAGTTCAGGTTTGTAAATTAAATCAAGATGGCCTGAAGGGCTTTTTTTCCCTCTCTGAACTATTCACCCAGCACTAATTTAAAGCCAAACCGCACTTAAAATTACTATTTCTTTATAAGATGGGTACTTGAGGTGTGTACAAATGAAAAACACTCTATTTTCCACCTACATCCTAAGCTGTTTCTTCTCAGAGCACAACAAAGTGTTCAGTGAAGTTTATTACTAAAAGAAACAGAAAGCAATTGACACTCTTTGTCTCTAACGATATGTTTAAGCCAGTTCAACACCGAGGCTCTATCAATGTGTGTGTGTGTGTGTGTGTGTGTGTGTGTGTGTGTAAAATCTCAAATATTATCAAAAGACTCTCAAAAGTAAACCTAGAACTATATAGTAATTTTAGTATTAAAATGTTATACTTGTGGAAATTGGAAATTATATGGCTATCTACACATGTACAGACAATTCCATTGACTGCTATACTTTGGAAAGTATGAATGAACATATAGTTCTGATTCCTACCAGAATAACTGCTATACTGCTTTAATAACAGACATCAATGAAGGTCAGAAATCACTCAACAATGTAGTTTAAAATAAAGTTAATATTGCCAGTTTACCAGTACTTTAGGCAAAACCAGTACTGTACACTATGCAAAAACAGTCATTAGTCATAGTAATTTTTCTTTCTCTTTGACATGGAAATAGTGTTCTCTCTTAAAAATAATTAAGTGATTTCCAAAATGATATAATTTTCTATTTAATATGGACTTTAAACTGTGCACTGCTCTCTGGCAAAGTAATAACATGAAACCATAGTGGTATTGAAAAGGCAGTTTTGGTAGAAGTCAGATCTAGGCTGGAAGCTGTGGTCTTACCACCCTACTATTGAAAACTGTAAGGAACAGAATAACATTATTTTAAAAAACTAGGAATTTGAAAAATGAAGTCCACAAGAATGTATATTTGAAATGT